ACCAAGAATGAGGCCAAAGCATAGCTGGCCGTCACTATTGCACACAAGAATATGAATATACTGAAGAAGATATGATTACCAGAAGTCCACTTAATCGCTACAATTAAGCCACTGTTTAAACAATGAATAAACCATTAATTATTTAAAGTAAATCATTATTTCAAACATGTTATGCAAAAAGGGTTGTATTACTAATGATTAAGAACTAAACCGAACTCATTTAGATCTAATGAATGAACATTTCAAACATGTTTTTATGTAAAATGTATGATATGGAAAATATTAACATGGTAATGTGTAGGAAACTTATAAAATGCATGTTATATGTCCATTACTATTACCGACACTTTTCTGTAATTAATAATTAACTACTTAACAATTCTTTTAAAAATGATTCATTTGATAGAAAAGTAATTAATTTAAGCATTATTTTTGTCAAATCATTACTAAACAAAAATGAAAATAAGAAAATGAGTGAATCTTTACATACACTGAACCCATGCCTGGAATACCGATCGCACAAATGATAGCAAAAACCAATTGACAGAAGAATACAAAGAAGAAAACCATAAAATTGAATGAACTGTCGTTTCTGTATATAATCGACAAAATAAATATTTATGCGTTTATAAAGTGATAAACAATTGTTTACTTAATTCCGATAAATACCTGAAAGCCTTATAGAGGGGTCTAAACCAACAGACAAACGAAAGCGGCGTAAATATTATAAGACAAACCAAAGAGAAGGCAAATATTCCTCCGCCGCCTTCGATGTCTTCAATCATAGCCGCCAATCCTCCCAATAGGTTGACAAACAGAACGCCGACGTAAACTAAATCAATATTCAATTCATATTAGAAATCTATTTGTCTTACTTTTCCATTAATATCAACAAAGATCTCAAATATAAATGTCTTACACATCCAGAGGTAGTAAACGTGTCGAACCATTCTCTGGAACTCAACGGGAATCTCGACATTAATGTCCTGATAAAAACATGGCGTCAATGGACAGAAGGCCGGAAGTGGCGGCCAATTGTTCTCCTTTCTCATGCCTATGCCTTCCATACGGAGTCTCTCCTCTCTGGCCGCGAGTTCCGCCTCTTTTCGATCCAATTCTTCTTTTTGTCGTTGAATTTCGTCCACAGTTATAGTGGTTGCGGCCGAAGGCGTGTAAGCGGGAGGCGAGACATAAGACTTGTTTTGCGCACCCAATGTAGACGTGTTGATGACCGCCGGCTCCTGACTCGTGATCGGAGGGTTTGTCGCGCCTCTGATTGACTGATATCAATATGAAAGCATGAAATCAATTGTTTGTTTGTTTTACGCTATAATTAAGCCTACATTTGTTGGTTTAGTCGTTTGGTTAGCGAATGGATTGTAATCCTCAAGACCTGAATCGCCGTTAACTGCGGGTCTATTGGTTGCCGAAGTGATGGACGGATCCTTTGATGACAACGCGATAAAAGTGTTATAAATTCAATCATTCAAAGCAAACCATAAATACCGCGAAGGGATCGCCAAACGGGTTGTCATCGAAGCCCGACATGACTTATGTCTTCCAATATGTGTCAAAAACCGTTGACTTTGTCTGAAGAGTAATGTTTGCGATGAAGTGATGACTTGTTATGAGCCAAACAATGGCTAATCTCTTGAATTGTTATCTCAAACACTGATTACAACAGATGTTGTCATAAGTGAAGCATTCATTCACTCAATACTGCAATCGTTTGACAACTCTTTCGCTCAAATCACACACAACTCACAAACACTGTTACGCTATATATTTGATTATTTGGAACCCCAGGCGTAACAGTAATGGCAAATGCAATGTCCAACCGGTGTCTCCACTGCCGTCACGTGATGTGTGAATGAGTGCCAAAACCTGTACACAACACACATGACATGAAAGCCTTTTAAAAGACAACAACAAAAGTGACATCAAATCCAATACACAATACAACACATCATTTGAATTGTTTTTACATTACATTCAATGCAATACTCGTTAATAAAACACTTTTATTATAATTTAGTTTAAAGTATTGTTTAGTTTTGCATTTTGATAATTATTTGCCAATACTTTTGAATGAATGCATTCGTGTAATGCATGTGTAATGACAGCATTAAACCAAATATACATTACATTTCGCTTACAATAATAACAGTAATATTGAGATATATTTTTAGCAAAAAGTTTTTATAAACAAATAAATAGTTTTTTAATGAATTCACGAAAGAGTGTAGAAATGAGTGGAGAAGTAATGTCTCAAACATTTTGCTTATAAAACAAGATTTGATGGCATTTTGAGTACAGAAATGATTGAATTGAAGCAAAGAAGTCAACTCTTGTCGAAGAATGTGATCCAATATATGTGTGGAGTTGTGATTGGATTCACCATTTGTTCCCAATTAACCACTTTTAGATACCAATTTTGAGTACAGAAATGATTGAATTGAAGCAAAGAAGTCAACTCTTGTCGAAGAATGTGATCCAATATATGTGTGGAGTTGTGATTGGATTCACCATTTGTTCCCAATTAACCACTTTTAGATACCAATGGACTGAAACACCCTTTTGTTCATTACATTCACACCAATCGCCTAATAATCCTAATTATAGGCCGCAATCACATACAGAACCGTTGGATCAGTTGATCCAAAGTGTGGTCCAACACAATGACGGCCACAATCTGGTGCTCATCGGAGTAATGACTGCTCAGAAATATCTCGACTCAAGAGCTCTGTCTATATATAAAACATGGGCTCAAAGTCTTAACGGACGGATCATATTCTTCTCGAGCTCGTCGTCGAAGTAATATTTGCACCATTTGTTGCATTCAATGACAAGTAATTAATATTGCATTGAAATCAATAGGTCTTCGTATGGCATACCTCTGGTTCCTCTGCCAACTGTTGACGACTCATATCCGCCCCAAAAGAAGTCGTTTCTAATGTTTAAGTTTATGAGCGATCACTTCATCGACCGCTTCGAGTACTTCATGAGAGCCGACGACGACGTGTACATCAATACCGAACGGTTGGAAGAGTTGTTACGATCGGTGAACAGCAGTCGACCGCAATTCATAGGTCAGGCGGGAGTCGGCAATAAAGAAGAATTCGGACGATTGAGTCTCGAGTCCAATGAGAACTTCTGTATGGGAGGGCCCGGAGTTGTCATGAGTAGAACCACTCTTCAGATATTCGCCAAAAGCATTCACTATTGTCTCAAACACTTGTATTCCACTCACGAAGACGTGGAGATTGGCCGCTGTGTCCGTCGATCGGTAGGCATTCCCTGCACTTGGAGTTACGAAATGCAGCGAATATTTCATCACAACTCTTCTCACGAACAGTCCATCAAAGAGGACACCATTAGTTCCCGACAATTGCTTAAAGCAATTACAATACATCCGATCAAAAAGCCGTCGACTATGAAAGCACTTCATCTGTACTTTAAGAACAAAGAACACCAGGAATTGAGGCACAAATTGAATCAATTGTCACGAATGATGATTAAAACTTCTCATTTACTTAACACATCCGTCGATGAAATACTTAGTCATTTGAGTGATTCATATTCTAAGTCTTCACATTTGGGACAATCCATTGATTTTAACTCACTTTCCAAAAGAGAATCTTATATTCCGTGGGATTTCATATCACATAATCTCTATTCGGCCACAAATATTAACCCTAAAAGACATGTTGAAAGTCATATCTGGAGATCTATTGAGAACAATATTCAAGACATAATGTCGTTAATCAACAGACGGTCCAAACAAAAGGGCCGAACCATGGAATACAAAAATCTTTTCTACGGTTATATGAGAGTCGACCCAATGGTAGGCATTGAGTATATTCTCGATTTACTAATGGTTTACAGGCGTTATAGGGGTCGCAAAGTGACAATCCCTGTGCGCCGACACGCGTATGCCGTCCAAACATTTTCGGAAATACAAATCAGAGAGACTCAAGTCTATGAACCGTCAAAAATGGTTAATATAATTGTTCCGCTCTCAGGAAGAATAGAAGCCTTTCAGAGATTTATTGAGAATTTCAAAGAAGTGCAAACTAAAGATAAATACATTAGTTTAGCGGTTATTCTGTTTCCCGATTCGACCCAAAGTTTGAATCAAACGAAAGCCATTTTAAACGACGTCGAAAAGAGCGGAATAGTTGTCAAAGTGGGACAATTGGGAGGCTTTTTCTCGCGCGCGGCCGCTCTTCAAAGAGGGTCAGCCATGTTCTCAATGGACTCTTTAGTACTTTTTCTTGACGTTGACATGCATTTTACCGATGAAGTCATAGCTCGCGTTCGTCTCAATACCATTCATAACAAACAGATCTATTTTCCCATTATATTCAGTCAATATAGCCCTCAGTTTGTTAACGACAATAATCTAAACAATAGAGATATATATGAAGATCGCGGGTATTGGAGACAATTTGGGTTCGGAATCCTTTCCATATATAATAGCGATTTGCAAACAGTCGGAGGTTTTAATGTATCGATTCATGGCTGGGGTATGGAAGACGTCAATCTCTACGATCGCATCATTCAAAGCAATTTTACAATATTTCGCGCAATTGATCACCAATTAGTCCATATCTATCACGATATACATTGCGATCAATCTTTGACTTCAATTCAATATGAGATGTGTTTGGGAACGAAGTTAACGAGTTTAGGCTCTGTTCAACAGTTGGCTAAATATATTAATTTAAATAAATTTCTTAAATTATGATAATTTGCAACATTTGTGCCAAAGATATAATGATCTGAATATATTTTACGCTTTAAGCCATGCTTTTATACCAAGTATTTATAAAAATAGTAATTTATATAAATTATATACAATAGAAACTTAATTTTTTAATTTTAATATAAATTTTACTTAAATAATGTTTAATACTATGCAATACTGTAAGCATTTGTATGAATTCCCATTTTAATGATATTTTATTTGATGTTTAATGAAGAATATTGTTAATTACAAGAAATCCCAAATTTTAATAAATTAAATACAAATAACGATTGTTTAACTGAAAGAGTTGTGAAACCTAAAGAAATTATTGGGCACTCGTTTAGCACATTCGGGCACATTCTCGACCCAATCGCACAGATTTGTCTTTGGATTAAACACAGTCTTCGCGGGACAGGAGTAGTCATAAGGTTGATATCTGCCGTCCACTGGAGTGGGAATACATCGGTAAAACTTCTGGCAGTCTGTCGGGTGTTTGAAAATGCCGAGACCGGGACAGTTAAATGTGATGGGAGTGGGCGGAGGGGTTGGCATCGGGTTTGGGTTAGGGCTGGGATTATGATGAGTGTTGGGCTCGTCTTCCACTTCATGTCCGGGCGTTTCTGCCTTAACGGTAGTCGAGGAGGGAGTCATTTCTTCGGCTTTAGTAACGGTTGAGCTGTGGACGGGATGTGTTGGCGCCCACGACCAAGAGCTCGATGGCGATGACGGCGCTCCGGTTGTCGACGACCACCACATGACAGTACTTACCGAGGGTTTTGGCCACCACGTGGAGGATGGGGTGGAAGAGGGTCGCGGCCACCACGTCATGCCTGTCGAGGGTGTGGACCAAGAGCTCGGAGGCGATGCAGTTGTCGATGATTGAGCCCAAACCCACGGTTTCGTAGACGTTGTGGTCGTCGTTGTTGTTG